GAGTTAGACCAGCGCTTGCGTGACATTCAGGCCGAGTATCTCGACTTCTTCGACGATGACGTGAGTTAACCATTGATTGAGACAATTAAGCCGTGATTTATACCATTGAACTGATCCCATATGTGATGTGCAGAGGGATCAGGGCGTCTACACCGATGCCGTCAAAGCCATGATCAAAGCCAATGAGTGCCGTCTTATAGTCGATATCAACGATTTGCGGCGAAAGTTACCGCAAAGAGTCGTCCAATTGTTGAACCATTCGGTCGAAGAGATCATTGCTATCCAACGGGCGCTCAAAGAGCACGTGTCCAACAATAATCCCGATTACTCTAAACTATACGCCGAGTTCTTCGTCGGCTTTGAGGGCAGTTTCGGCTCCAAACACGTGACGCCCCGAACGCTGTTGTCGCGTCATTTGGGATCCGTTGTGGCCGTTGAAGGTATTGTCACGCGTTGTTCGTTGGTTCGGCCGAAAGTGGTTAAGTCTGTCCACTACTGTCCCGTCACGAAGAAGACAGTGGAGCGCAAGTACACGGATCTGACCTCTTTCGAGGCGTTTCCCACGGGATCTGCTTATCCGACCAAAGATGAAGACGGAAACCTATTGGAGACTGAATACGGACTCTCCGTATACAAAGACCACCAGACGTTCACCATTCAGGAGATGCCTGAGAAGGCACCGGCCGGTCAACTGCCCCGCGCTGTGGACATCATTTGCGACAACGATTTGATTGATTTATGCAAACCCGGAGATCGGGTTCAAGTGGTCGGAAGCTATCGGTGTTTGCCATCAAAACAGGGTTTGATTTGACTTTTTGGTTGTGTTTGTCATTCGCTTTAACCACTGCATCGACTTCTAGGCTCGTATACGAACGGCACGTTTCGCACAGTTATGCTCTCAACGAATGTGAATCTATTGTCGAAAGAGGTTTCCTCTGACATAACTCCCGAAGACTTTAATAAATGCAAGAAATTCAGTCGTCAGAGAGGCAAAGACGATGTCTTTGAAATACTGGCCCGTTCTCTGGCGCCGTCCATCTATGGTCACGACCACATCAAGAAGGCGTTGCTTTGTATGCTTTTAGGAGGTCTTGAGAAAGTGTTACCCAATGGCACTCGACTTCGAGGGTAAGTCATAATGCATTAGTTTTTACTGTATTTCTATATTTAATTACCCTTTGATTTGTATTTGCAGTGATATAAACATTCTCCTCATTGGCGACCCCTCCGTAGCGAAGTCTCAGCTTTTGAGATATGTGTTGAACTGCGCGCCCAGAGCTGTGGCCACCACTGGTCGCGGATCTTCTGGCGTTGGTTTGACGGCTGCCGTCACTACAGATCCCGAAACTCGCGACCGGAGACTAGAGGCCGGAGCTATGGTTTTGGCCGATCGGGGAGTTGTCTGTATCGATGAGTTTGATAAGATGTCTGACATCGACCGCACAGCCATTCACGAGGTGATGGAACAGGGAAGGGTCACCATCACTAAGGCTGGCATTCACGCCAAACTCAATGCCCGCTGCTCTGTGTTGGCCGCCGCTAATCCAGTCTACGGCAGAGTATGTTTACAAACACTCAATCAATTATTTTTCATTAATCTTTATATTTGTGTACAAAAAGTACGATCAATACAAGACTCCGATGGAAAACATTGGACTCCAGGACTCGTTGTTGTCTCGATTTGATCTGCTTTTCATAATGTTAGACAAGAACGACACTCAGATAGACAACGCCGTTGCCGAACACGTGGTTCGCATTCACCGCTATAGAGCTCCGGGAGAACAGGACGGCGAACGTGAGCTTGAATTGCATTGAATGGCTATTTTGCAGTACAATAATGTTTGACTTGTTTTACAGCACTTCCAATCATGAGTAACGCCGACTTCCTGACCACCAAAGACTCGGAGACTTTGGACAGAGACGCCGACGCAGAGACTCCTATCTATGAGAAATATGATGCCTTACTTCATGGAAACCGAAACAAATCGTATGCATTTATTGATTGCATTTTAACAGTGAAATAATAATGATTTTTAATTGAATTGAATTATTTAGCGATAAGATTGTGAGCATTCAATTCATGAAGAAATACATTCACATCGCGAAAGCCATTAAACCTAAGCTAACGAAAGAGGCGTGCGATCTGATTGCCGAAGAGTACACTAAACTGCGCTCTCACGACAACGACAAGTCAGATGAGGCCCGGGTTAGCACACTTTTCACTAGTTTTACCATATATTGCTTAGTTTGACAATAATTTCTAATTGTTTTGTTGCGATCGTTGTTTGGCAGACCCAACCCGTGACGGCCCGTTCTTTGGAAACAATGATCCGTTTGGCGACAGCGCACGCCAGGGCTCGACTCTCGAAGAATGTTGAGGCACAGGACGCCAACTGTGCCGTCGAATTGATTCATTTCGCTATCTTTAAGACAGTGTTGAGTAAACCCAAGAAAAGGAAGAGAGAGGACGAAGAGGGCGGCGATGAGGA